GACTGAGCCAGAGCCGAGGATGGGGGTTTTTTCAAATATTTTTCGCTCCGGGCAGGGACTGAAGTGTTGGGTGTATTTAGTTGTAATCACGGAAATTATACGTATTGTTATTTTGACCTCAAATTCTCTTCTCTGAGATTTCCATATATTAATAAATTACATTCTGTGTATGTTTGCAAGTGCCCTTGTCTCGGGCACAACCTCATTAGACGCAACAAAACACATGCACAACCGTGTCAACAAAGAACAGTAGGATAGTACCGTGTGCGTGTGTGTGTGTGTGTGTGTGTGTGTTGGGTTTTTTTTCGTAGACTAGAACGACCAGAGGCCGACAAGAACGTCCAGAGGCCGACTTACATATAGTTTATTGGTGAGACAGATTGGAACGTATATGCATACTTCTGTGCTTAACCCCACGTGGCCAGGACTGACACGCCCAGTATCATTCAAGGTTTATTTTCAGTTACATTTTGCCTTGGCAATTAAGCTTGGACTTTATATTTACATTTGGTACCATAAAAAATTTAGTGAAGATCGCCTCGTCGTCAAGAGACAGAACTTTGGAATCGATTGTTTTGTAAAACCAATGTCTCGAATGGACACGTATCGTGTGACTATAGTTTGCTGTGACGTTTATTAATGGGCTGTAGGGTTCTCCTGATCGTCTAACTCGACGTTGCCATGGCTCTGGTTGTCGGAGATGTGTGCAGAGAGCTAGGATGATTAAACAGAGAGATTTGTTTTTATCTTGTAACAAGACTGGCGCGCAAAATATCCGGGGATAAGGCTAGGGTCTAGGGGAAGGAAAAGGTCACCGGTCATGCCAATGTTGGCCTGGGGCACACACAATGCGTGACCTTCATCTCCTGAGTGAGTCACTGTGGGGACTCAAACTAGACCCTATTCCGGGAACAGTACTAGTCATAGACCTTGCCTTCAACGTGTCATTGTTAGCAGTGTATTCCCCTACTTTATTTAATGCGTTTATGGTTCGGCAGTACGGTCAATGCGGAGTTTGAAGTATCTGTGTGTGTGTTTTGT